AGGGTTCTCAGATCCCGCTTTCCCGCCCATTTTTTCCTGTTAATCCCACCATCCCGCCCTTTTTTGCCTGGAAATCCCGCTCCCGCCTGCTTTTCAAGGACGTTTCTGCGTTAATTATTAATTTTTTAAATAAATAATTAATTTAATTATTGACACAAACTTTTTAAAACAAGATATTGCATACAAGATCACAAAAGAATTCAATGGGTAGCAGATAAGTAAGCACAAATGATTTTAATGTTTCTTTCTGTAAATGGTTTACTGTTTTGTTTTCTTTTGTCCACGTATCAGTGAAAGAAAAAGATTGATCATTCCCGTATTCAAGAGATGGCCCGTAAACACACTTCACAGTTTCTTTCAAAGCTTTCAGCGTCTTCACTTTACTTGAAATCTGTGCTCACAACTTTTCTTTCCGATTGAAGGCATTCCTGCTCGCACATCCTTTCCGTATTATGGTCTAATATATGGTGACGCAATTTGTAATGTCGCATATTTCGTTCGGTAAATCACTATCACCGCCATAGGGTGTGGCCATCCTGGCCAAAACAAGCCAAGCGCTTTGGAAAAGGTCGAAAGAGTAGAAAAACTAGAAAGGAATGGGAGGTCAAGGTTACAGACGCAAGCATCGAAAATGATGGAAATGGACGATACGTTTGACAGAACCTGACTGGGTACAGAGCAGTTGCTATTCATTACTTGAAACCCGACACAGCTATACGGTTCGTTTCTGCCAGCTTGTGGTTTTTGCACTGGTCAATAACAATTAATTTATGAGGTCACGTAAGAATTGAAATCCCGTGTACCGCTCTGYTCCCCTTGCAAATCCCGCATCCCAACGCCATAAAAACATGAAATCCCGCTCCCRCTCGTAATTGTAATTCCCCCTTCCCGCCCCTGTTTTCAGCTCAAATCCCGAATATCACGGCGAAAAAAAGCCAAATCCCGCATCCCACCAAACCTATTGGGAACCCTCATTATCCCCTGTCATATTTTTTTTCGGCTCAACACCCTCAAAGGTACCGCAAAAGCTTGTTTTGAGGTTCAACACCCTAAGAGGTTGCAAAACAGCATTTTTAACCCCTAAAAAATACGACGAGCACCCCCGTCCTTTTTATATGGGAGGCCCCCTCCCCGGGCCGTCCACTACCCTTCATGCACCCTGCCTTAAGCCCTTTCAAACGAACTGTACAGGCAAACACGTAAGTTATTTAGTAACTGACTGCAACATCTGATAACATCCCTCTTTCCAATCTTGGCTTGGGGCTGGTCCCTAAAGCTTTCCTCTTGCATTTGAGTGATTTCTGAATTTGTTCTGGTCACTGGCCTTTAAATTATGGCATGATGCTTATTTTAATTAGGCCCTTGTGATATGCCCCTACGACAAAAACACACCTGTGAGGAGGGGGGAGGGGGCAGGGGGCAGGGGCAGGTACATGGTAGGTGAAGGATACAAATCTGACTTTTCTGTTTGCTTTCCAGTTAGGATCATAATTATGATGAAGTATGTTTTGGGTCTCAGTGTTTTCTTTTATTCTATTTTATAGCTGCGGAAGGAACAACAGCATTTTTCAAGTTAGCTCCCAGTATTCCAATTGTAGATTACAACGTGACAAGAATTAACAGTTATTTGGATGTTCACCCAACAGCAGATTCTGCCAAGCAAAACTTGCTACCAACATTTCCATGCCAAAAGACGTCTCCATCCACCGCCGGTTGTGATACTTGATTGTGTTGTTTGTGGGAACAACTGTCGCCTTGCACTCCAAGCTTGTGTCAGTCACTCAGTTACGGACCTGAAAATGTCACAATTGATTGTGCTGCATCCTATTGGCAGAGCAAATGTTCAGTCTTTGTTATCGTCTTTAGAGGTGAGCATTGAAGGATGAACTGCAAATGCACAGGGGAAAAAGGCTCCAGTGACATGTGATAGACTGGTAGATTTTCCTAGCAAATTGCCTTCTACTACCTTCTAAGAATAAAGGAGAATTTGACGTGAGATCCAGTGTCATTACAGGTTTTTTCAAATATGTACCCCTTGAACTATTAAATGTTTCAGAGGTTTTCTTATTCTTGGCAACATTTAACCCATAACCAAGTTCCATAGTTGTTTATTATTCAGTCTTATCTTCAAATCACTCTCTGACAGCTCAGGGAAGTGATCTCCCATTTTTCATACAAGAGCGTGGTTACAATGACACATGAGCAGAATATTATTTGCAGCAAAACACATTCAGACGGTATTACGCATGGGTAGACCATTATTTGTAGGCCGTTATCTGCAGGTCACACGGTGGGCTCTGCCAGTGAAAAACAATTGGGACATGTCTACTCAGGATTTCTGTGACTGTGGAGTCAGTTTCTGTGAAATACTACTAGCCGCTTCATGCAACAGAAACCGGGATAACTTGTACGCAGACTTTAGATAACTGAATAAGGGGTTAAAAACTTTTAAAATAGTCTGAAGTTTCAATAAATTAGGGCTTTTTTATTATTTAATTGCTAACAATACAGTGACTGTTAAGTACTGTATCAAAGTTACGAAATTTTAACATTATATTTATTTTCATTCTATGCAGCCAGAGATTGTGACTGGCCTTCACATAAGAAAGATGGCACTGCGAATACAAGGAATCAGTGAAAGCACACCAGTAATTTTAACCCTTACAAATATCACTGATCTTGATGTAGACCAGAATACTGCGACTGCCTTACAACAGATAACAAAAGCGGAAGTCTATCAAAATTAAAGAAGCTTGATCTAACTGGTAAAATAATCAAATACAATGTGTGCACCATTCTGCGACGTCTTCAATCACCCCTGACACATCTGGCTCTGGGAGGTTGTGGTGTTCAAGACAGCACTTGATTTGTGTGAAATGTGTACAATGGAAACTCTTGGACATTTGCAGTCTTTAGAACTGAATGGCAGTGGGCATGGAAGATCACTTCTCAAACTCTTTAATAATTCATCAAGTTAGAACAAAGAAAATCAGAACCGTGAAGGAGGTTTGGATACCCG